GCCCTCATGAAACTCAGCCTCATGGAAAAGACAGGCATTGAGCAAATCATTACCATTGTGCCGAGTGTGTGGAAGGAAAGGGATACAGCATAACCAGTCTGGAGAGCCGCAAAGGCTTCCCTAAGGACTTGTCACAGAGGCTGCCCCTGAAGGATGAGTTGGAGATGGTGGGCAGAGAGAGGGAAGCAGCAGGGGGGGAGTGGCTTGAGGTGAGGCAGACAGGGCTGGATCCCGCCACGCCCCGCAGGCCAGGCGAGGGAGTTAAGAGCAGTGGGAAGTCCTTAGAGATGTCTAAGCTTTTCAGGTTTTGTTGTTTTGTCTTTTAACTTCTTTTTTTTTTTTTTAAGATTTTTATTGGGGAATTGGGGAATGGGAACAGCACTGGGGAATTGGGGGAAGGGGAACAGATAAGTTGCTGTTTTGTTCTTCAGTCTAGTTGTGGAGGACGTTGCTTCACTGGCCCAAGTTGGCACCATCATTGCGCTCTTCCTGGGTGAGGCAGATCAGTCGCCGGCTTCTGGACGGCCGCTCACGCTGGCTGCTGGCTACACACGGTAGCCCATGGCAACCCACTGCCACAGGGGCTGCAGCCTACGCCGTCGCTGGCGACTCACGGCAGCCCAGCTCCAGGTTGAGCTGTTGTTCAGCATCTTAGCTGTGGAGGGCAGTGTCACTGGCCCTCATGTGTGGGATCCGAACCGGGGCCCTCTGGCGGCCCAAGCCAGCTATTAACCAATGCACCACTCGGCCCGCCCTTGTCTTTTAACTTTTTAATATGGAAAATTTCAAATATATAAAGCGTTAGAGAAAACAGTTTAATGAACCCTGAATCGCCTTGTACCCGTCACCCATCCCGCTTCAGTACTTTATATGTTGCTGATCTTGTTCCTCACCCCCTCCTGCTGCACTGTTTTAAGGCAAGTCTAGACATCCTGTCATTCCACCTGTAAATATGCCATATCCCAGCTACCAAATTTGTATTCAATTTCCCCAATTGCCTCAAATAGTGTTTTTGCGGTTGGTTGGTTCGTATTAGGATCCCAACTGGGTCTATACATTCCAATCAGGTGACGTGTCTTAATTCTCCTTTTAACCACTGATATGTCCTCCGCCGCCCTCTTTTATGTTCCATGCACTTAGTAATTGAAAAAATGGCTACCTGTTCTGAAGACTTCCCCACAGTTGAGATTTTGCTGACTGCACCGCTACAGTGGTGTCTAACCCGTTCCTTTCTCCTGCTCCCCATGTTTCCTATAAACCCATAGTTAGATCTTGAAGCGTTTAGAGTAAGGCCAAGTGTGCTTCATAAGTAGTGCTTTGTACTTCCTGTTGCATCCCTTATGTGGTGTCTGGATGTCCCACTTTGAAGCATGATAACATGCATCAGTGTGTTCAGGAGTTGTCAGCCTGAGCCATCAACATTCCACCTGCATTTTAGCATCTGTTGATAATCATTACCTGGAGCCATACATTGGTGTTTGGAAAATGATAACTTTCTCATTTTCTCATTCCTTCTGCATTTAAAGACTGTAACTCTGTAAAGGATAGTTTCCCTCATCCATTCTTTTGTTTGATCCTCAAATTAGAGGTTTTTATAGGAAATGCAAGATGAAAGATTATTGCCTTTATTTACTGACTTTCAGAGTATGAAATGTGCTCTAGCAACCCCCAGAAGTGGTGATGAGGGTGGTTGTTTAGTATCATTTTGAATGAATTGTTGGATGTTTATATATTTAATGTTTCACCTATTGTAGTCATAATTTTTATGCTCAAATTATTCTGTCACTGGGAGCCCTTCAGATTGGCTCCGGTTTCAGTATCTTTTGGGTTTGTTTGATTTTTGTGTGAATCTGCTTTACTGAATATTTCCCCAAACTTTTTATTGTGATCATTTTCAAACATAAAGCTGAAAGGCTAGTTCACAAATACCCATATACCCTCCTTCTAGCTTCAACAGTTGTTAGCATTTGCCTCTGTCTTTCTCGTTTGTATGTGTGTATGTATATTTGTACACACACCCTATACATTTATTTTGCTGTAGCATTTGAAGGGAAGTTGTAGAAATGATGACCTTTCACCCCTGAATACTTGAGCATGTATCTCCAAGAATGAGCATAACCACAATTCTGTTTCCTAACCAAAGAGCATTACTATTGATTCCATAATGTCATCTAATGTCCAGGCCACATTCCAGCTTCCCCAGTTGTTCCGTGGATGTCTTTATAGCTACGTTTTTTTCCTGACCAGGATCCAGTTGAGTCAGTTCATACGTTGCAAGAGGTTGTTAGGTCTCTTCAGACTGAAGCAGCCCCCGTCCCCCTTGCCCCTATGACATTTATAATACTTTTCCATATTCTGAATACTTTTCCTGTTTCTGCTTGATATCATTGAACTTGTACTTTACCCCCTGAAGTTCCCGTGAACTGGAAGTTAGGTCCAGAGAGGTGTGGATGAGATACAGGTGAAACATTTTTGGCAGGAGCCCTTTCATAGGTGATGGTGCCCAGGAATCTGGAAGTTTCCCTCTTTCTGTCATAATGAGAGTTCTAGGCCTGTGCTGTGCATTTCCTTCCCTACACCTGGGATCAGTCATTTCCCCCAAGGAGCCCTGGTTGCTTTTGGTAGGAAATGATAAGAAGAGTCCACAGCCTTATCTTATTAAAGATTTTTTTAACCTTGGAGTGTATTTTGTAAATGGTTCTCTGGTCACAGTGAGTTGAATAGATAGGTAAAGGGCAAGAGTGTATGCAGGAAGTCCAGCTGGGAGGCTGTTGTGGTACCAGGGAGAGATGGTGGCTGCTCGGGGCAGCAGCAGAGATGGATAGACTGGACAAGATGAAGAGGCAGAATCATCAGCATCTAAGGGGATGAGGGAAAAGGCGAGTCGAGGATCACTGTGGTTTCTGGTCTGAGGAACTGGGTAAACAACAGTGGCATCGGTGGAAAAAGGAAGGAACCCAGCAAAAAGAACGGGTCAGGGGGGAAAGTGGGTTCAGGATTAGAGATGCAGAGAGTTTCAGGTAAGCCATCCAGATGGAAGGTTTGTGAGCAGCTAGATCTGTGAGCCTAGAGCACAGGAAAGAGTTCCCTTTCACCTTTGTGCCTGGATGCAGCCAGTGCTGTACATACTTTTTTATTGAATATGTGTTAATTGACTATTCAGCTAGCCTTTTGTCAGCAAGTATTTAAAAATATATATATATTTTTTTTTTTCTTCTCCTAGGTCTCGCTCTCGAAGCAGACATTCTCGTAAGAGCAGAAGCCGAAGTGGCAGCAGCAAAAGCAGTCATTCTAAGAGTAGATCTCGGTCCAGGTAGGTCTGCCCTCATGTAAGTGGAGGGAGGTGAGCAGGGAACACCCGTACCATTTGCCACATTGGTTTTTAACCATTACCGGTCTTCCCTCACCCCAGTTTTTCCAGCTCTGGGCTGGAATCGTGGGGGTTCAGAAAGCAGGCATTGGCCAGAGCTGCCATGTGTTATGTGGTGAGCACAGCTCCACATCCCTTGGGTCTTTCCAGCCCTTGACTAGCATCAGGTGTGAAGTCGCATGTGACCCGGACATTGCCGTGTCTCCTCAGGTCAGGCTCCCATTCCCGGAGCAAGAGCCGCAGCCGCAGCCAGAGCCGCAGCCGCAGCAAGAAGGAGAAAAGCCGCAGCCCCAGCAAGGATGACAAGAGCCGCAGCCGCAGCCGCAGCGCAGACAAGCACCGCAGCAAGAGCAAAGACCAGGCCGAAGAGAAGGTCCAGAACAGCGACAACGCCGGCAAGTCCAAGAGCAGGAGTCCCAGTCGGCACAAAAGCAAGAGTAAAAGCAGAAGCCGGAGCCAGGAGAGACGAGCGGAGGCCGAGAAGCACGGGAGCAGGAGCAGGAGCAAGGAGAAGAGCCGGAGTCAAGAGAAAGGCCTCCGCAAGAGCGGGAGCCGCAGCCGGAGTCGCAGCAAAAGCAAGGACAAGAGGAAGGGGAGGAAGAGGAGCCGGGAGGAGAGCCGCAGCCGCAGTCGCAGCCGAAGCCGCAGCCGCAGCCGCAGCAAAAGTGAGAGGAGCAGAAAAGGCAGCAGCAAGCGAGACAGCAAGTCGGGCAGCAACAGCAGCAGCAGCAAGAAGAAGAAGAAGGAAGGTGCCGACCGCTCCCAGTCCCGATCTCGGTCCCGCTCGGTGTCAAAGGAGCGGGAACGTGCCAAGTCTGAGTCCGGCCAGAGGGAAGGCCGAGGGGAGAGCGAGGATGCTAGCGCCAATCAGGAGACCCGGTCCCGGTCAAGGTCCAATTCCAAATCCAAACCAAACCTTCCGTCAGAATCACGCTCCAGATCAAAGTCCGCTTCAAAAACCCGATCTCGGTCCAAGTCTCGATCCAGATCTGCATCCAGGTCGCCTTCCCGGTCTAGATCTAGGTCCCACTCGAGGTCCTAACTGGCTACGACCACAGCTGGAACTACCCGAGAAGTTTTGTACATGTTTGGTAGCCGTAGCACAAGTGATTGAAGTAGAACATATGTCACTGCTGTACATTTTTAACTCCCCTAATGGTGTGTCTACAGTTGTTAAATCTAAGTGCTTCCTCTCCGTAACGCCTCCTGGCGCCAGGCCTTCCTGCTCGACTGAAAACAATCTTCTCTGAAAACCCCTTTACTCATGGCCCACAGTAGACTATCCAAAATGCCTTGGCTTTCAGGCCTGGCCTTTCCTGCAGGGAGCTCAGAACCTGGACGGCTCTAAGGCTGGAATGATGAAATAGGTAGGTATGGTGAGTTCAACCATTTTTGCCCTTGAATCGATGCCCTTTGATGTATGCCATTTAGTGAAAGTGCTAAGTCTTAAGTTTCCTACCACTTTGGTTTCATATTTTTGGACTTAACAAAGTTGTGAATAGCACAGTCAAGGAAAATTGATACCTGCAGTAACCCATAGGAAATAAACTGTAGAGTTCCATATTCTGGTATTGTGATTATATTGTTTTATATTAAAAAAGAAAAGAAAAGAGTTTTTTTTTTAATTTTATTTTTCCCCGTCTTGCAAAGTATAGTGACCCCTGTTTCCATTAAATTTGAATAAAGACTATTTTTGCTTGACAAAATTTCATGGTGCTTGAATCAAAGTTGCATTGCCTGAGCTCTGTTGATACTTTTCTTAGCATAAAAAGTTCAGTGTGTAATGGCTGTTTTTTGTTCCTCGAGATCACCCCTGAGTAGGGAGCCGACATTTTCCTAAAGGATTTTTCTCACCCAACAGAATACAGGCATGTTTCTCAGGAATTTACAGTCCTTCCTCTCTTAACGAAGCTTATGGCCAAGCTGATGAAAAATGAATCAGTTTGGGGAACTTGGAGCATCGCCACGAGTTCTTCATGAACATAGATTCTTTGTTCTGTGCTGTTTGAACTTCTTGCCGTGAATCTGAAGCAGCACACCTCATCACCGTAAGAGTTGGACTAATCAAAAACCAGGAAGGAGAACTGCGGGGTGAGCTTTGTCCCTCGTTCTCTGCATCACTGTCTGGCCCAGCTCTGTGGGAGGTACCAGATACATTATTCCAGTCTGGTCTCCCACCTTGAGGGACTGTTGAGAGGCATCAAAGCAGGGTGGATGCCAGAACCTTCCTTTACATGCTGCGGCAAGCTTGGGAAGAGAGAAAGCCACTTTTCAGACTGCTGCCTGGGAATGTAGTAGGGGCTGTTCCTAGATTTAAAGCACTGTCCTGTCCCCATATCCTGTGGGACACTGGGAAGGCAACTCCAGAGTTTCTTGCCCTCTTGGAGTTTGATCTGGTTGCAAATGATAAACACTAGGATAAAATGGGCTTTCAGAGAAGGGAGTTGTAGCTTCATCTGGGTTAGAGACATCTTGAGGGAGACAGCACTTAGGCTAAACCTTTGGAGATTTGGGGATGTAAGACATCCTGCTAAAAGAAACACCTGAGCAAAGCCATGGAGCTGGGAAAGCACAGGACGGTGCCCAGGGAACATGGAGTTTGATAATGGGGTAAGAGAAGCAAGCTTGGCAAGATGGATTGGGTCGTAGAGGCTTTAAATACCAGGAGGAGGACTTTGGCCTTTCCTGTGAACATGGACAGAACATGTTTGAACGGGAGGCTATGGGCTGCGGCGCTGTGCTGCTGGAAGGTCCGTCTGACAGTGGTGAGACGAGACGCAGGGGAACCCGCACCTGGGGAAACAATAATTACAGATGCTGTGGGGCCCGAATGAAGGCAGTGACCCAAGAGAACAGAAAAGATCAGCCTGTGACCTGGGGAACGGAGCTGTCAGAGGTCATCCAAGGTGGGGAAGCCTTTTTGAGGAATGGGGAAGGTGAAGGTGAGTGAGTTCAGTTTTGGAAACATGGAATTTCTGGAACAGACTGGGCAGCCAGACCCAGGAACCTCCCTCCAGCTCCTCAGAGCTTTCCCTCCATGTGTGTCATGGTGAAAAGGTGATGACACTGCCTCGGAGCGTGTGTCGGTCTCCAGTAGGTGATGAAGAATTCAGCATTCCCTAATTTTAAGGCCCAATTTTAAAGATTGACCTAAATTTCTCTGTCTCTGACACAGCAACTCTTGATGATTCCAGATTCTCTTCCAAGCTTTGGTCCTGTTCTTTCATAGTCTAAACAAAGTGATGTCATTTTTCATTCAACTTAATAAACTCATTTAATGTCATGAGCATTAGAAAGTTCTCACTTAAATGTTTAGGCACATTAATTCTACTCAATGAATTTATTAGCACGTGTGATCCTCAAGTATAACAGTATGGAAATTCCATAGACCTAGAAGGGATTGGCAGTCCTTTTTTTCCAGCCATTTTTAAAGCCATTTATATTTACTTAGATTCTGAAAAGGAAAGCGTAAAAATAAAAATCACGAGTTCCAAACATTCATCAGAGGTTAGTACTTTCGTGTACATTTTTCGTCTTGTTCTCACAGCACCAGGCCCAGCTGCAGATGAAAAGACTGCGCCTCCATGTCCACCAACCTCTAACATTAGCTTAGTATTTGAGTGCCGTCCATAGGCAGCACTGCCCTCGGGCACTGGGAACGGCACGTGAACAAGACTGACAGGCTCCTCTTCTCGTGGAACCGGTAAGGCTTGTGGTTTGGCCTGTGGTGGTGTCAGTACTGAGTGCCTTCTGTGGACTAAATCCTGGGCCAGTTGGTGTTCACTGCCTGGCAAATCACTGCAAGGGACTCTCCTGCCGTCCCTTAGGAGAAAAAAGTTTCCAACTGCAGTGCTTGCTCTAGGCCACTCGTCCCTTGACAACAAATTGAGCCACAAGGTGGCGGTGCTGCTTGAGGCTAAAGCTGGGTAATGCCTGCCCCCAGCCACCCACCCATTGTCCAGTGGAAGAAAGACCTCAGGAAGCTGAAAGAGGAAAGGCCTCAGTTTAATTCGTTCACCTACCTGCATCTACTATGAACTAGCTGCATTTATGTACATTGTTACATTTTAAAAGGAGAGGACAAGGTCAGAGAGGTCAAGTGTTTTGCCCAGTAGCACAGCTAGTGGCGAAACTAGGATTAATGATTAATTTCTAGATTTCTCTGGTTCTCCTTTGTAAAAATGTCATCATTTTCAATAGGAAGCCATTTGCTTCAAGTCACAAAAGCTAGGATTTGAACTCAGGTTCAATTCAAGCATGGTTTCTACAAGACTGAATCTGATTTCCTTAAGCAAAAATTTGTGAGTGGCTGCAGGAAAATGCCGCTAGCTCACTGCTATGAATCAATTTTAATTGCCCCATCATTTGCTGAAGACAAAGGCCTGCTTGGGACTGCCCACTTGTCCAAGCTCAGGTCATCATTCCACATCCTAGGTGCCAAGGAGTGAAGAGAAGGAAGATGGCCCATTTTAGCTTCTACAGTAGGACGCAGTGCACTAATGCCCATAAAAATACACTCAATAGGGAATTTCCCAAAAAGGAAGCAGCTGAAGAAAGACAACGGTCTCCTACAATTCACCTCTTTGGATGCTCAAAGTCCACACATACCCTCTTTTCTATACTTAAGCTTCCTCCCCTTTCCATCCTCCCAAAAAAGAGAGGCGAGCAAAAATAGGAACAAAGAACAAGGGTAATGATTAGAAAACAGTAACAAATGTGGTAGATATTAAACAGTCATCACTTGAAATGTCAATGACCTAAGTAAAAGACAAAAAGACTATCAGTGAATTAAAACAAGACCCAGCTATGTGTTGTCTACAAGAAACCCATTTTAAATATAAAGACATTAAAAACAAAGGATAGAGAAATGGCAACACCAAAAGAAAGCTGAAGTAGCTATATTAATTTCAGACAAAGCAGACTTAAGAGAAAGGAAAATTATGAGGGATAAAGAGGCATTACATAAAGAGATCAGTTCTCCAAGAAGATATTTAAAAATCCTTAACATGTATGCAACAAACAACAAAGCATCAAATACATAAGGCAAAAACTGACAAAACTGCAAGGAGAAAGAAACATCCACTACTACAGTTGAAGACTTCATCCCCCTATCAGTAATTGACAGATCCAGCAGGCAGAAAATCAGTAAGGACACAGTTGAACTGAAGAATGCCATCAATGAACTTGATCTAATTGACATAAAATAACAACAGAATACACATTCTCAGATTTACATGGAACATTCACCAAGATAGACCACATTCTGGGCCAAATCACACCTTAACAAATTTAAAAGAATAGAAATTATTCTAAGTATGCTCTCAGACCACAGTAGAATTGAACTAGAAATCAACAACAGAAAGATAGCTGGGCAATCCCAAAATACTTAGAGATTAAACAACACATTTCTAAACACATGGGTCAAAGAAGTCTCAAGAAATCTTTTGAACAAAATGAAAATACAACTTACCCAAATGTGTGGGATGCAGCAAAAGCAGTTCTTAGAGGGAAGTTTCCAGCATTAAGTGCACCTATTTTAAAAGAAGATCTAAAATCAATTATCTAAGTTTTTGCCTTAGGAAGCTAGAAAAAGAGCAAATTAAATCAAGTGTTAAGCAAAAGGAAAGAAATAATAAAAGAGCAGAAATCAATGAAATTGAAAACAGGAAGTCAGAAGAGAAAATCAACAAAACCAAAAGCTGATTCTTTGAGAAAATTGATAAACTAGCTAGGCTAACTAATAAAAAAGACATAAATTACTAGTAGAAATGAAAGGGGCCATCATTACTTATTCTGTGGACATTAGAAGGATAAAAAAGCGTGTTCAACTCTATCCCCACAGATATGATAACCTAGATGAAATGGAATAATTCCTTGAAAAACAAGCTACCCAAACTAACAGAGAAGTAGATAATTTGAATAGGCCTAAATCTATTAAAGAAATTGAATCAATAACTCTAAAACAAAGCACCAGGCCCAGATGGTTCACAGGTGAATTCTACCAAACATTGAAGGAAGAAATTTTACCAATTTTCAACCTCTTCCAGAAAACAGAAGCAGAGGAATACAAGATGTTGGGTTTCTTTCACCAGAGACCTTGTACATATTTTGTTAGATTTGTACCTAAGTATTGTATTTTTGGAGAGTGTTCATGTAAATGCTATTTTTAATATCAAAGCCTAATTGTTCATTGCTGTACATAGGAAAGCAATTGGCTGGTATACTAATTGTAACTCATTTTATGAGGCCAGCATTACACCCAAACCAAAGGCCTTATAAGAAAGGAAAACTACAGACAAAATCCTCAACAAAGTATTAGCAAATAAAACCAATGATGTATAAAAGGAATTATACACCATGACCAATTGCAATTTATTCCAGGTATGCAAGACTAGTTCAAAATTCAAAAACCAATTAATGTAATCCGTCACATGAACAGGCTAAAGAAGAAAAACGACATGAACATACCGATAGATGCAGAAAAAAAGCATTTAAGAAAATCCAACGCTCATTTCATGATAAAACTCTCAGCAAACTAGGAATACTTTTCCTCAACCTAATAAATCTACAAAGACCTACAGCTAACATACATAACAATGAGAAAATAGATGCTTTTCCCCTAAGATCAGCAACAAGGCAAGGATGTCCCCCTCTCACTAATCCTATTCAACACTATTGGAAATCCTAGCTAATGCAATAAGATAATAAAGGGGAATAAAAGGTATAGAGCTTGGGAAGGAAGAAATAAAACTGTAAATGACATGGTCAACCCTGTAGAAAATCCCAAAGAATTGACAGAAAAACTAAAACTAAAGCAATTATAACAAGTTTTCAGGATACAAAATTACAAAAGTCCATTGCTTTCCTATGTACAGCAATGAACAATTAGAATTGGAAATGAAAACAATACCATTGGGCCGGCCAAGTGGCGCAATGGTTAAGAACTGGCTTGGGACGCCAGAGGGCCCCGGTTCGGATCCCACATATGAGGGCCAGTGACACTGCCCTCCATAGCTAAGATGCTGAACAACAGCTCAACCTGGAGCTGGGCTGCTGTGAGTCACCAGCGATGGCGTAGGCTGCAGCTCCTGTGGCAGTGGGTTGCCATGGGCTACAGTATGTAGCCAGCAGCCAGCGTGAGCGGCCAGCAGCCGCAATGAGCGGCTGTCCAGAAGCCGGCGACTGATCTGCCTCGCCTGGGAAGAGCGCAATGATGGTGCCAACTTGGGCCAGTGAAGCTACGTCCTCCACAACTAGACTGAAGAACAAAACGACAGCAACTTGTCTGTTCCCCTTCCCCAATTCCCCAGCGCTGTTCCCATACCCCCAATTCCCCAATAAAAATCTTTTAGAAAATAAATAAAATAAAATAAAGAAAACAATACCATTTACGTTAGCACCCACCTCCCCCAATGAAATACTTAGGTATAAATCTAATATGTACAAGATCTCTTGTGAAAGTAATCAAAGATCTAAATAAATAGATTTCATGTTCATGGATAGGAAGACTCAGTGTTGTTAAAATGTCAGTTCTTTCCAACTTGAGCCATAGATTCAATGCAGACCCAATCAAGATCCCAGCAAGTTATTTTGTGGCTAAAGTTTACATGGAAAGGCCAAAAAAAAAAAATCCAGAATAGCCAACACAATATCGAAGAACAAAGTCAGAGTACTGATACTACCCAACCTCAAGGCTTCCTATAAGCGTCAGTAATCAAGACAGAGTTGTATTGGATAAGAATAGACAGCTATAGATCAATGGAACAGGATAGAGAGCCCAGAAATAGACTGATACAAATAGTCAACTGATCTTTGGTAAAGGAGCAAAAGCAATTCAATACAGAAAGGACAATCTTTTCAACAAATGGTGCCAGAGCAACTAAACATCTACATGGAGGAAAATGAATCTAGACATAGATCTTACAGCTTTCTCAAAAATTAAAATGATCATAGACCTAATACATACAACACAAAACTGCTACAAAGATAACCGAGGAGAAAATCTAGGTGACCTTGGGTTTAGCAATAACTCTTTAGATATAACACCAGTAGCACAATCTACAAAAGAAAAACTGATAAGCTGAACTTTTATTAAAATTAAAAACTTCTCAGCCAGCCAAGTGGCTCAGTTGGTTAAGAGTTAGCTTAAGAGCGCAAGCTCTGAGCAACAGGGCCGCCGGTTCGATTCCCACATGGGCCAGTGACACTGTGCCCGAGCTGAGCTGCCAACAGGTGGCAGGATGGCTCAGCTGGTGAGAGCAGTGCTCCTAGCAACAAGGCTGCCAGTTTGAATGGTGGGTTATGCCCACCCACAACTAAAGACTGAACTTGGCATCTTGAGCTGAGCTGCTGCCCGGATGGCTCAGTGGATAGAGTGTGCACTCTTACCAACAAGGCTGCCGGTTAGACTCCCTCATGGGATGGTGGCTACGCCCACCTGCAACTAAGGGCAACTGGCACCCTTCACAACTAATATTGAAGAACATCAACTTGGATAGTCCCCCTCCCCAATTTTCAACACTGTTCCCCTCCCCCAATTCCCCAATTTAAAAAAAAACCAAAAACTTCTGCCCTGTGAAAGGCACTGTTAAAATAATGAAAAGACAAGTGACAGACTGGGAGAAAATATTTGCAAAATACATATCCAACAGGACTTGTATCCAAAATATACAAAGAACTCTTAAAACTCAACAATAAGGAAACTACCCAACTTAAAAATAAGCAAAAGATATGAACACACACCTCAGCAAGATGATATACAGATGGAAAATAAGCATATGAAAAGATGCTCCACATCCTATGTCATTAGAGAATTGCAAAAAAAAAAAAAAACAATGAGATGCCACTACATGCCTATTAGGCCAAAATCCAAACACTGACAACACCAAAGCTGGCGAGGATGTGGAGCAACAGGAACTCTCATTCATTGCTGGTGGGAATGCAAGTGGTACAGATACTTTGGAAGGCAGTTTCGCTGTTTCTTACAAAGCTAAACACATCCTTACCATCCAGCAATCATGCTTGTTGGTATTTACCTGAATGAGTTATGTTCACACAAAAACCTGTACCCAGATGTTTATAGCAGGCTTATTCATAATTGTCAAAATTTGGAAGCAACCAAGGTATCCTTCACAGGTGAGTGGATAAATTGTGATACAACCATACAATGAGTGTTATTCAGTAATACAAAGAAATGAGCTATCAAGCCACTAAAAGGTGCGAAGGAGCGTTAAATACATATTGCTAAGTGAAAGAAGCCAATCTAAAAAGGCTACCTACTGTGAGATTCCAACTAGATGATATTCTGGAAAGGCAAAGCTATGGAGACAATAAAACGATCAGGGGTTGGGGGGGGGTCGGAAAGGAAGGGAGGGACTGGATGGGGCATGGGATTTTTAGGGCAACAAAACTATCCTGTTTGGGGCCGGCCGAGTGGCACGTTGGTTGGGAGCTGGCTTGGGGCACCAGCTCTGAGCAGCGGGGCCCCAGTTCGGATCCCACATGGGGGCCAGTGACGCTGCGCCCTCTACAGCTGAGATGGTGGATGGCAGCTCGGCCTGGAGCTGGGCTGCCGTGGGTCACTGGCGTCTGTGTAGGCTACAGCCCCTGCTGCCGTGGGCTACCATAGGCTACCGTGTGTAGCCAGCAGCCAGCGTGAGCTGCCGACAGCTGCCGTGAGCGGTCGTCCAGAGGCTGGCAGCCGATCTGCCTCACCCGGGAGGAGCGCAGTGATGATCCCAACATGGGCCAGTGAAGCGACGTCCTCCACAACTAGACTGAAGAACAAAAGGACAGCAACTTGTCTGTTCCCCTCCCCCCATTCCCCAGCGCTGTTCCCCTCCCTCAATTCCCCAATAAAAAAATCTTAAAAAAAGAAAAAAGAAAACTATCCTGTATGATATGTGACATGCATTTGTCAAAACCCAAGAATGTACAACAGTGAACCCTAACATAAACTATGGACTTGAGTCAGTATCAGTTCATCAATTGTAACAAATGTAGCACAACAACGCAAGCTGTTACTAACACGAGGAGGTGGGAGGGGGTATGGGGAGCTCTACTTTCCGCTCAGTTTTTCTGTAAACCTGTAAAGTCTTGGGTTTTTTTAAGTGCAGGGCACCAACCTAATGCCTCCACAGTATCTACAGAATCCCTCAGGTAACGTCCGCTCTTCTAGTCCTTTTAGTAATCCCACCTTGACAGTCTGCAACCATACACAAAATTAGTGGTCAGCAAACGACAGCCTGTGGGCCAGGTCCTGCCTGCTGCCTATTTTTATATGGCCCTTGAGCTAAGAATAGCTTTTACATTTTTAAATGGTTGGGGGGAAAATGAATATTTTATGGTACATGAAAATTATTCAAAATTCAAAGTTCAGTGCTGACTCTTGGCACACAGCCATGTTCATTTGTTTATGAATTGTCTAAGGTGGCAAAGTCAAGACATTGCCACAGAAACGGAATTGCTCTCAAATTCTAAAATATTTACTGTGTGGCTTTTTTTGGATGGGGGGTGGGAGGGCATGGTTTTTATAGTTTTGTGTAGCTCTTTACAGAAAAAGTTTGCAAACCCCAGTACTAAATGGTCAAATTATAGCCTATATACAAAGTGATGAAAAAGAAAAGAGAAAAAAAAATTTTAATATATAAATGGAGCATGACATCTCCAAAAACGAAATACAGATAGAGTCTAAGGTCCTATTTTATTAGAACCAGTCAGAAGGCCTGGCCCCTCCTCCATGGGTGAATTTTAATGACATACAGAAAGAATACCTCAATGAAGCAGATTTTTAACGAGAAGGTTCTGGGGGCCACCTGTTATCAAGCTACAGAACAATCATTACGTTCCGAATGCATAGGGACTTTTCCTCACTCTCAGTGGAAGCCGGAGGACCTGTCGGGATAGTGGGCAAGAATGCAGGTGATTCAAGGGGCCGGGCAGCAGGCAGAATGGTCAGGCCTCCGACGGCCGACGCCAGCTGGCTGGTAGAGGCAGG